GTTGTTTATGCCAGGAGGGCAATTCCTTTAGTACATAAGGTACTTCTTCATGGGTAGAAGAAGAAGTACCTATCATTATTTTATTAAATGAAATATAGATATTCATTGGTAAAAGCAAAAAGCTCAAAATTACATTCTAATAAACTGTGAAAATAAACTGGACAAAAGCTTTTTTGAACCAATATCCCTAAACAGAAGGGAAGATTACTTCAAAAGAATTTCAATCTTTGCCAGACTTGGAAAATCTGGATTAATCTTTCTACACTGAAAGAAATACCAAAGTGAGAGGCTGAATTTTAAAGGCTATTATATTTGACTAGATCTTTTTGCTTCTAATAGTCTAAAGATAGCAAGAGGTTCACTATAGTCTTTATGAGATTATTTGAAATTCAGACACAGGAAAATTAGCATCATTCAATACTCAGTCATCCAGAAATGACACTGCATCCCTGTACTCACTAAAAACCGGGATAAAATGTTTCTAGCCAGAAGGGATCAGGTCCTTAGTTTTCCACAGGTGGCTTCATTTTTAGATATGTTATGCTGGAACTCTGCTCTTCTTTTGCTACCTCCCAGAAGAGTTAGTTTCCTCCTGATAATGCTAAAATATGTACACGACGTTCCAAGGAAGTTATCTGCAGGAGAATAATACAGTAGCAGCTCCACTGAGTAGGAGTCTGGTACTTGGCATTCTAATTGAAAAAACGGGGCTTAATAAATACTTTCTTTTGGAACCTTGCCTCTGAGTGTTTTTGCTCATTCTGGATTAAAATTGGGGACTGACACATTCTGGGACTGAAAGATGTTCTAAAGTTTCCTGGAAGAAACTGAGAATATATTAAAACTATTCAACCAAAGATTTTTGGATCACCTAGACACAAATGTTGCATCTGGTCTTTAAGAAATCAGAGGCTGTCTGATTAAGAAGCATAACAATAAATATCCAGCATAAAATCTAGGTCTTGTTTATGGCACAGGAGAAACAGGGAGAACTTGGAACTGCTTCTTCTCAGCAGCTGGATGAATCACTGGCAGCTGCTATAAGAAAGATAAAGAAACCCACATCTGCTTAGAGTCCAGATGCTATATGGATCCCTTGTGATAGTAAATAAATTCCTGAAGAGGCCCCACTTCTAAATCAAGAAAAGAATTAAGGATATCTAAAGGCTGTTTTCTATAGTTATCTCCATGTGCTATTTCACAGAAACCAGCTCTAGCTATATGCACCATTCTTCAATACAGTGAGTATTTACTAAATATTTGCTGACTGATTAAGGGACTGGGAAAGGACTGGGACAGACAGGTTCTGATGAAATTGTACAAACTTCACCTTTTTACTCATAGCTCCCAGTTTTGTTCATGTAGAAACCAACAGGTTAGTTTTTCTGACGTAGTTCACTTAAAATTGAGTCTACATTCATTTTTGCCCACTAGAGCATATATTCTGTCAAGAAGATGATGCTAGTCCCAGTACGCTAAGTACTTGTTGCACAACAGTGTAATTGAGATGGATGATCTCTAGAGTTACATGTCATAGAAGCTGTGATTGGAATAGTAGAAATAGTACATTAGCATATTAGTAAATCTGTGTTCTATTTCCAATTTTGTTACTAATCCACTGTGCAATCCTTCTGCAAGTTCCATGATTTCATTATTTACAAAACGGGCACAATATGGGGCCAGCCCGGTGGCGTAGTGGTTGGGTTCGTGCCTTCCACTTTGGTGGCCCGGGGTTCACCGGATTGGATCCTGGGTGCGGACCTGCTCACCGCTCATCAAGCTATGCTGAGGCGGCGTCCCATATACAAGAGCTACAACTCTACAACTATGGCACACAACTATGTACTGGGGCTTTGGGGAGAAAAAAATAAATAAATAAATACAAAGAGGAAGATTGGCAGCAGATGTTAGTGCAGGGCCAATCTTCCTAAAAAAAAAAAAAAGTAGAAAATGGGCACAATAATACCTACCTCACCTATTTCTTAGGATAGTGGAAATGATCTAACAAGACACTAGGTAGGGGTTTTAGAAAAGAAGTTTCAGTATCTATATAAAGTAGCAGTAGCCTCCAATAGAGCAGGGTGGGGGATCCTGTAAATTCAATGAAAGCAGGGAGTGTATCTGTTCACTTACTATAACTCCAGTGCCAGGCACACGGTAAGGCTACCAGAAATATTTGTTGAATGAATGAGGAAATAGTTTAGGCCTTCCTCTACTTTAAGTTAGGGCCACTGTAGAAAACTATAAGTTAGACATCACTATAGTCTTAAAGGTATTCAATACTTCTTTGGAAAAACACATAATATAAAGGTAGGAATGAGAACAGGCCCTTGAAAACAGATGTGAACAAAGACTTTGATGTAGAGATTCTAAATCTGAAAATTTTGGATAATTTAACCTATTTTAGTGTTCTGAATGTAACAACCTAGTGCCATTTTTTAAAAGAAGCTTCCAATGGGTATCTTTTGCCCTTTACCTCACACCAAGATAAAGTCTCAATTAAGACATTTTTAATCAGTGTTTTTCTTAATATTTTCCTTGGAATATAATCATAAGATGTCAAACCAACAATATGCAAATATAAAAATGACTTGCATTTTCCAGTGCCATAGTTTCTCTCTCAAGGGTTTTAAGGTGAAATGAAAATCTTACTTTAGTAAATTTTATTCTACTCCGCAAAATCTATGTTTCTAGAACCTGAGTATTTCCTGCTGCTTAATGAAGGTTTTTAATTGTCACTAAGAAATGTGAACTTTTCAAAAACTTAACATATCACATTATTCACATTAGCCAGAGGGTGCAAGCAACCCAAGTATCCATGACAGATGGATAAATGAAATGTATACACATACAATGGAATATTATTCAGCCTTTAAAAGGAAGGAAATTCTGAGACATGTCACAACATGAATGAACTTGGAGGACATTACGTTAAGTGAAATAAGTTATTCACAAAAGGATAAATATTACATGACTATACTCATATGAGGTACCTTGAGTAGTCCAACTCATAGAGACAAAGCAGAAAGGTGGTTGCCAGGGGCTGGGGGGAGGAGGGAATGGAGACTTAGTGTTCCATGGATATAGAGTTTCAGTTTGGGAAGATGAAAAAGTTCTGGAGATGGATGGTGATGATGGTTTCAGAATAATGTGAGTGTACTTAATGCTACAGAACTGTACACTTACCTGGAAATTTATCACTGGTCTTCTCACTCACCTTACATGCCAAACCCAGTCACCGCATCCTGTGGATTCTATCTCTGAAGGCGCCCTTTCCATGTCCACAGACATGGCCTCAGTTTTGGCTCTTGTTATCTCTCCTTAACTCCTGCAAGTCTCCTAACTATGCTCCTTGCTTCCAGGCTCGCCCCCTAAGCCATTTCCACACTGCCTTTAGAATGATCTTTCTAGAACTCAGATATCATCACATCATTCTCCTGTCTAACATCCTTCAAATAATACCTACAGAATAAAGCCCAACTTCTTTTTTATGGCAAAAAAAATGGTCTTTCAGGACCTGATTTTCTTTCTTTTATTCCTTTACAGGCTCATCTCCTATAACTTTCTTCACAAACTCTAGCCATTCTGATCTTTTCAGTTTCCTAACTACTCCAGGTTCTTTTATGCTTCTACACCATAGCACATGCTCTACCCAGAATGCCCTTCGCTCCTTTATCCACGTGGATACCTCCTACTCTTCCTTCCCAACTTAGATCAAACAGCCAGTTCTCAGGAGAACCTTCTCTGATCCATGCTCTCCCCCCTCTCTAACAATAGTATTCCCATCCCACCCCCCACACTCAGGAGTTTCCTTCTTTGTATTCACATCATTCCTTGAATTTAATGGATGGCATTTTAATATTTGCCAAGAGCAAAGGCTCTGGATCCAGACTGCCTGCGTATGAATCTGGCCTCAGCATTTACTGTGTACCCTTGTCAAGTTATTTAACCCCTCTGATCCTCAGTTTCATTAGTTATAAAATGTGGATTATCCTATCTACCACAGAGAGATGTTGTGAAGATTAAATAAATTACTACATGTAAAACGCTCAAAGCTATGCTTGGCTCTTAATAAGTATCATTAGTAACGGTGATGGTGGTAGTAATGTTGGTAGTATCTCTGACACAGATGGATAGCACCTCAAAAGTAAGGTGTTCTGAGAGCCTTGAACAGCATACCCTCAACCAGTATTTATAGGAACAAAAGAAAGAAGTTTGGAAGGAAGAAAGGAAGGCAAGAAAAGAATTTGGGAAGACTTACCGCCATTTTTGCCCACAGTTCGGAAGCATCTCCAGAAGGCCCGTAAGAATGATGCCCTATTGTGAGGGGTGGCTTGGATGAAGCTGAATTCCCGAAAGAGAATGTGAGTTCCCTGACATACACTGTTAAAACTGCGAAGAGAAAAATCAAGAAATCATCATTAGATGGGTAGTTCTGGAAATCTGGAATCAGAAGGAAAAATCAAGACCAGATAGAACCACTGCCAAATAGGGGGAAAATCTTTTTTCTCCAACAATACTCCGAACTATAGATTAGACAAAACTCTGAACTATGAGGAAGTCTCTTCACATAACCATATCCCTCTGAGTCAAATTAAGTGCAATTCCTGAATGCTTCCCACCTCCCACATATATACACTGAGGAAGTTTAAATCAGCCACTGGAGCGTTTCATATAGAGGGAAATCTTTCAGTCTGTAACTGGATGACATGGGCACTCATATCTTTTTGAAGAATATTTCTCCCCCTACCTCTTTTGAAATTATGTTTCCTTAAAGATACTCTTTCTGTACTCTCTGACCTTTATCAGCTGCCATAAGAACAGCATGGCTTACGGGGACATAACTGGACTGTCTGTTCCAGTTTGGGAGTGGGGTAGTACACCTCTTTGACAATAACCTCAGAGGCAAACCCACGTGCCCAAGGATATAAAATGTTCCAAACAGAACACTAAAGGCAAACAGATAGAACGAGGGTAGAAAGTGGCCCCTGAATGAGAGCATGAGGCAAAGCCCCAGGGCCCAAGTGAGTCATTGTTTAAGCTGGGCCGGGGAAGGGGAAAAAACATACTCCATTGCCTTTGGGTTCTTCTGCCAAAGAAATAAAGGCTGTAGAGCCAGGCATAATCTAAAAATGGAAATTCCACCAAAGAATAGGCAATTATCCAGTAATCATCACTACCAACAGCAGACTTCAGGTTCCAGAAAACTCCTAAATTCCCTGACAAGTAAATCATGAGTGGAAAATGTGTTAATCTTTATAGAGAAGCAGACATGAAACTGAAGATGGCAAGCAATAGAGGGACAGTGGTAATTCCAAATGCCACTTTTCATTTGTTGGCCATTTAAAGCGGAAAAAAACCCAAATCTCTGAACTAAACAGGAAAAAATTTCAGGAGCCATCTTTTCCATTTTCCTTTTCCCTGACCAAGTTCAGAGGGAAGTGTCTAACCTGTCTTTCACATAGAGTATGTTATCACTTCAGATAAAATTAGCCTCTTCCTGTTAAAGCAAATCACATACTCTTCTTCCCCCATGGACAACTAGCGCAGAAATCTACTTCTAAGACACTGTGAGGAAGTATGAGGACAACATCTGGCAAAGGATTAGCTTGGAAGAGAGATTTTTAAAAAGCAATGAAAAGCGTTAACCTAACCACACAGTTTGTGGCAATGCTGTTGTCTTGAGCAAAGGAAAATGAAAAATAAAGCAAATGAGCCGCTACAGGTAAATGGAGGAGGCCACATTTCCAGCAAATGAAGTCTAAAATGATAACATTCTAGCCTAAATTTATGAAGCTATCCAGCAAAGAATCAGTTCCAAAGTGTGCTTCATACCCCGCAAGGGAAAAGAGCTGGTGTCTAGGTCACGGTTTAAGCTGTAAAGGAACTAATACCAGTGAAATGATATCCCTAGTGTAGCTTTTTAAAAACATCTTTTTTTAAACTACGCCATAATTTATGCACTGAAGGATCTGGCTGAGCCTCACTGTACAGATAAGTAAGAATTTACACAATATGAATTTTATAAAACAAATTGATATTGCAAGGACATATAACAGTGAATATAAAATGATTTATAATTGTATTTATCCTACTGCCTTTAGATAATCCATACCAACAAAATTCACATTTAATTAAAAGTAAAAATAATGAGAAATGTTTGATTTGGGTGGCAGATGGTCAGTATGGAGCTCATAATCACTTAAAGAGTTAATAGATGATCTTAATTTAATCAGTGAAAATTCCGTTAGATAAATCTAACGGCCATAATGAAAAAGCAGAAAACACAATATTGCTCAAAGCTTTACTGTTTCTCTTCAAGCTAAAATATCTTTTTCTTACCTCCATCTGTTAGAATTCTATCCAATCTTTCTGGACCATCTCAAATGCCATGTTTTGCATGTAGTCTTTTTCTGATTCCACCCCCCATGCCCAATTCCCATCATATCTCATTTATAACTCTCCAGTGGTACTCACAATTTGCTGCCTTGTTTTAAAGTTACTGGACTTATTTCCCCTACTAGACGGTAAGTTCTACCGAGTAAGGAATTAGGTTGTATTCATCTTCGTCTCTATTACATTACCTAACACATAGTAGATACTCCTCCATAAATGTCTGTGGTGGTTGATTTAGAAAGATAAGAAGAAATAGATAATTAATACCAGGTAGAAAGTACGTATCAGGATTTATGTTTGCAGCTAGCAACAGTGGAAATACCACAAGTCTACATTTTATAAACTCTTTAAAAGTCCAGGACTTTGGTCTGATATTAGTACTGTAACATTGCAATACCGGCTTTGTTCTCATTAGTATTTGCCCGGCATATCTTTTTCTATGCTTTTAATTTCAATCTTTCTGGGTCATTTTGTTTTAGGTATTTCTCTCATGAGTAGTATATAGCCGGATTTTCGGGTTTTTTTACCCAACCTTACATTCTCTGTATTTTAAAAAGTGAGTTTTTGGGGCCGGACCAGTGGTGTAGTAGTTAAGTTCGGGTGCTCTGCCTTGGTGGCCCGGGGTTTGCAGGTTCAGATCCCGGGCGCAGAGCTATGCACCACTTATCAAGCCATACTGTGGCAGGCGTCCCACATATGAAGTAGAGGAAGATGGGCACTGATGTTAGCCCAGGGCCAATCTTCCTTAGCAAAAAGAGGAGGATTGGCAACAGATGTTAGATGTTAGCTCAGGGCTAATCTTCCTCACTTAAAAAAAAAAAAGTGAGTTTTTGATATATTTGATTAATTTCTGCCGTCTTATTTTGTCTTTTTTTTTTTTTTTTTGGAAGCTACGACAGAATCTGTAATCTTTCAGTATTCTTCTTAAAAATTTAACATACATTAGTTAACATACATTCAGTTACACATTTTTTTAAAATGTCAATTACTCATTATCTTTATCATTCTCCAAAACAAGACAAGGACCAAACACACTCTAAATAACTTATTAGCATCTTCTCATCTTCTGATACTATTTTCTAGAATTTAATTTCTACCTTTTTTTTAACTGAAAAACTTTTTTTTTTTTCGTGAGGAAGATCAGCCCTGAGCTAACATCCATGCTAATCCTCTGCTTTTTGCTGAGGAAGACTGGCCCTGAGCTAACATCCGTGCCCATCTTCCTCCACTTTATGTGGGACGCCACCACAGCGTGGCCTGACAAGCGGTGTGTTGGTGCGCGCCCAGGATCCAAACTCGGGCCGCCAGCAGCAGAGCGTGCACACTTAACTGCTACGCCACGGGGCCGGACCCTGAAAAACATTTTTTATTGTGGTAAAATATATATAACATAATATTTATCATTTTAACCATTCATATTTATCATTTTAACCATAATATATATATCATTTTAATCACTGTAAGCTTACAATTCAGTGGCACTAAATACATTCACAATCTCGTGTAACCATCATCACTATCTATACCTCAAACTTTTTCATCATCCCCAATAAAAACTCTGTATCCATTAAAAAATAACTCCCCCTTCCACCTTCCTCCTAGACTCTGGTAACCTCTATTCTACTTTCTGTCTCTATGAATTTACCTATTCTAGATACCTCATATAAGTGGAATCATACAATATTTGTCCTTCTGTGTCTGGCTTATTTCACTAAGCATAACATTTTCAAGGTCCATCCGTGTTGTGACATATATCAAATTTCATTCTTTTTCAAGGCTGAATAGTATTCCATTATATATATATATACCACATTCTGTTTATCCATTCATCTGTCTATGAATACTTGGGTTGTTTCCACCTTTTGGCTACTGTGAATAATGCAGCTACAAACAACGGTGGACAAATATCTGTTCATGTCCCTGCTTTGAATTCTTCTGGATACATACCTAGTAGTGGAATTGCTGTGCCACATAGTAGTTCTATGTTTAACCTTTTGAGAAACCACCAAACTGTTTTCCACAGTGGCTGCACCATTTTACATTCTCATCAGCAATGCACAAGTGTTCCAATTTCTCCATTTCTCGCTAATGCTTGTAATTTTCTTCTTTTTTTTTAATAGCCCTCCTCGTAGGTGTGAAGTGGTATCTTATTGTGATTTTGATTTGCATTTCTCTAATGACTAATGCTGTTAAACATCTTTTCACATGCTACTGGCCATTTGTATATCTTCTTTGCAGAAATGTCTATTTAAGTCCTTTGCCCGTTTTGTTTTTGAGGATTAGCCCTGAGCTAACATCTGTTGCCAATCCTCCTCTTTTTTGCTTAGGAAGATTGGCCCTAGGCCAACATCCATGCCCATCTTCCTCCACTTTATACGGGATGCCACCACAGTATGGCTTGATAAGCGGTGTGCAGGTCCGCACCTGGGATCCAACCCTAGGACCCCGGGCTGCCAAAGCAGAGTGTGCAAACTTAACCACTACGCCACTGGACCGGCCCCTCCTTTGCCCTTTTTTGAATTGAATTGTTTGGTTTTTTGTTGTTGAGTTGTAGGAATTCTTTATATATTCTGGATATGAATCCCTTATCAGATATATGATTTCCAAATATTTTCTCCCATCCTATAGGTTGTCTTCTCGCTTTCTTGACAGCATACTTTGATGCAGTAAAGGCCTTAATTTTGATGAAGTTCAATTTATCTATTTTTTCTTTTGCTCCCTGTTGCTTTTGGTGTCATATCCATGAAATCATTGCCAAATCCAATGTCATGAAGACATTGGATTGTTTTCTTCTTAGAGTTTTATAGTTTTGGCTCTTCAGTTTAGGTCTTTCATCTATCTTGAGTTAATTTTTGTACAAGGTGTAAGGTAAGAGTCCAGCTTCCTTCTTTTGCACATGGATATCCAGTTTTCTCAGCACCACTTGTTGAAAAGACTTTTTGAACAGTCTTTTCCCCAGTGAATGCTACCCTTGTTGAAAATCAATTGACCATACATGTGAGGGTTTATTTCTGGGCTCTCTATTCTATTCCAGTGGTCTATATGTCTGTCCTTATGCCAGTACAATACTGTTTTAATTACTGTGGCTTTGTATTAAGTTTCGAAGTTGAGAAGTTTGAGTCCTCCAACTTTATTCCTCTTTTTTCAAGATTGTCCTGGCTATTCAGGGCCCCTTGCAATTCCATATGAATATGAGGATCAGCTGTTTCATTTCTGTGAAAAAGGCTATTGGAATTCTGATAGGGATTATAATGAACCAGTAGATTGCCTTGGGTAGTATTGCCATCTTAACAATGTTAAGCCTTCCTATCCCTGAACACAGGAGGTCTTTCCATTTATTTACGTCTTCTTTAATTTTATTCAGCAGTGTTTTGTAGTTTTCAGTGCACAAGACTTTCACCTCCTTGGTTAGGTTTATTCCTAAGTACTTAAGTCTTTTAGATGCTATTGTAAATGGAATTACTTTCCTTATTTCCTTTTTGGGTGTTGATTGCTGGTGTATAAAAACACAACTGATTTTTGTGTGTTGATTTTCTATCCTACATCTTTGCCAGATTTATTAGCTCTAGTAGCTTTTTTGTGGATTCTTAGGGATTTTCTATACATACAAACATCATCTGCAAACAGCAATAATTTTTCTTCCTTTCCAATTTGGATGTCTTTTATTTCTTTTGACTCTACCTTTTTCAATGTAAAAAATACTTATTACTTTTTAAAGTCAATAGCTAAGTTTAACAACATTTCATACCAATTTTCATGCTCACCACTGTTTCTTGCATTTTGTGCCTTCTCTCTTGGTTCAATTATTTTCTTGCTAAAGTACAGCCTTTAAGAAAGGCTGATTTCAGAGCGGCGGGGGCAGGCCGAGGGCGGGGCGGGGCGCGGAGAAGCGCGGGCCGCAGGACCATGCTGAGGGGCGCGTGCGGCCGGCTCGCCTCGGCGCTGC